CTGATTTTTTCCACTCACAACCAACACAGTATCTGAAATATCTGCACCTTTAGCTTTAGCTCTGCCCAGTTGGCACAATCACATCATGCTGATATCTCTGAAAAGCTTGTTTCCTGCTATAAATATGAAGATGTGCCCTTGTGAGATATGTCAGTTTATTTTGATAAAACATATGAATCATACTTACTAGTGTGGAAATACTTTTAACTGACTTGTTCTCCAAATTAGTTTTTTTCTTTGTTCAGAACAAAAAGCATTCCTATCCATATTTAGACAAATTCCTATACAAATTTATGAATGCTTTGTGAATGGTTTGTGAAGATGACCATTAAAATTGAATTGAATTGAATTTAGAAGTATTACAGGGGAATTTTTCAAAATGTTGATAATTGTTGGATTTATGAAAGATTTTATACAGAACTTGCAAACGGTGTGATACATTACATAATGAGTTGGCCAGAGTGTACCCAAGCCTCAGGATGATATATTATGTGTTATGTGTTTTGTATTTTATTAAACTCTGATTAAACTCTGATTAAACTATTAAATAAATGTAATAAATTTATTAAACTCTGAATCCTCAAACTGAGGCATTTTCAACTATTCCCAGTTAATAGACATATAATGTCAGCCTGATAGGCCATATTCTAGTGTCCAGGGGGGCAACCTGATTGCAAGATCCCTATGGGGTCTGAATGCAGTGCAGAACACCTCATTAAAATAATTAAATGAGAAGACGACGGAAAGACAGATGCATATTCTGGTTCCGTTGACTTGAAATAGACACTAGCAACTGATGCAGTTGTACAAAATATCACACCAAATAAGCTGTTAATCTGACAAAATATGTCCAGTTAGTGCAAATATAACAGATATTTTTGTGTAAGTCCTAATTTAATAAATAATTTAGGTTTGCCATGCTTAAAATCATGTTATGTCTACACTTTGGGGTGATTATGCTGTGCACCAGCTTTATGCTGTGCACCAGCACCAAAATGCTCTCATTAAAGTGCTCTTTCTTTGTGCAGGGCATATAAAACTGTGCAGGAGGATGACCTTAAGTTTCCACTGGTTTTTGGAGAGGGGAAGAAGGTATGAGGCCTATTGATGACAAATTATAGGTCTGTCCTTTGTAGTAAGACAAAAAGACGGATCTAATAACAGGGACATTCTTTAGCTGCTGTGGCTAACTGGGACTTTCCTGGATCTGTAGCTGGATCTATAGCTATTGTAATGCAGCAGAGAACATAGATGATAATGCTAGATATAAGAAGCACAATTGTCAAAATATATATGTTCTTATGAAGCATCTACTAGTAAGGAACATCAGGTTAAATCTGTTAAATCTGTTAAATCTGACCATTCAGGACTACACTTTTTTCTGCCTGAGATCACCCAAAAAGTACAAGTGAAAGTCAGTTGAGAAGACATAAGACATCTTGCCTATAACAGGTATAGACAGGCCCCTATCAGAGCCAGGTGAAACACAATATCACATTAAGAATACATTCAATGCAAAAGTCTACATTTCCTGATTGTTTTCCAAGCCACATTATTAAGTGTATTAAATAAATGGGCATAAAATGGAAATTACATCATTGTACAATTTATCAAACATTGTGTCAGAAATTTAGTATATGCTGTATATATGGTACAGACCTCCCTTTTAACATTTTTTGGCATTGGTATAAACTTTAACAATGTTTTTAAGCATTTTGATTTGAGTATTCGTTAGTTGAAGTGTTTTGTATTGGGATACACGATCATGTCAGTTATTTTAAGTGCATTATGATGGACAAATGAGGAAGCTGCATATGAAAGAGTACCAAACACCACCTTCTCCCAAGTGCACTATAGACATTAAACATCTCTCATTTGATAATGTTTTCAGCTTTCTGCTCTATGAGCAACAAGACACATTTTATGAGAGAAACCATACTAAGGAGAATAATGTCAGATTTTAAAATGTGTACAAGTGTCTGTCTCCAAGGAGAGGAACCAAGCTAGTGAACATGTGGCAGAAAAGTACACAGGACTAATACACAGGACTCCTAAAGCCGGAAAGAAAGTAATGATTTTTTAAAATAAGTATTTTATTAGTCACAGTTGAGTGTTAAGATTTGATGTACCTCCTATACCTATATCTTCTACTATAGCTTCAGAGGTACTGCTAATTTAATTGCATAAATGTAAATGATGTAAAATGACAGAACAGTGAAGTAGAGTTGTGAATTGTGAGCACTCTTCTGGTGTCACAGGCCCGGGTGATGGCCACTATTGGTGTTACCAGAGGATTTGGTGATCATGATCTAAAGGTTCATGGCACGGACATCTCCATTAAACCTTTTCTCTCCTGCAGTCCAGAGGTAGTTCCTTTGTCTTTACTATATTCTATACCTAAAAGAGTATATATGAGAGTGATATGTATAAAGTCTTTTATTTTTTCTGTTGTACAGTTTCATTGTTAGTTGCCAGGATGTCAGAATTATGTCCTTGATAACAATGAGATTATTTTTAATGTAAATAACTTGGCAGCCCTTTGAAACACATTTAATTTTAAGCAGATGTGAACCTAACCATAAGAAGCTTGTCTTCTCTCGAGGCACTGTAGTTCCTGACAGCATGGCGTACTCTCTGTTCTCCGCTTGCACTGTCTATCTGAATAGCTTTTGATCTTTAAATTGCAAATGGGCAAATGAGTTCAACCACAGGTCAACTACACAAGCACAAGAAAGACTCAGATTCTCTTTTTGATCTTGAAAAAAATGTTGACTTACTGTCACCCTAAACTAGAGGTATGCATTCGAAAATACTCACTCTGCTGCCACTTCATCTTGCATTGGGGTCGTGCTGTGGAATGTGCCAATGAACATAAGCTTTGATATTGATAAAAGAGCTCTATTTTTGTGTTTGAAGTTATGCTCTCAACCTACAACCCTGACCAGAATAAATCTGACAATGATTGAGTTTGCTCTCAGCCAAATAGTCATAAGGAAAAGTGCATGAGAAGTATAAAACGTGACCCTTTTTGAAGTATTTGAGATTCATATTTGAAAAAGAGTTACAGACAGATCATTGATTTGCATTTCCATTTGAATGAAACTGTGATGCATACGTGACATGTTGTTTCCAGGTGAGAGTGTACAACTTGGAGCAGTTTGAGCACGGGGCTGACGATGTCATGATTTTGGCTACAGATGGCTTATGGGATGTTCTTTCCAACAAGGAGGTGGCTGAGGCAGTTACTAGTTTCCTTGGAAACTGTGACCCTGACAACCATCACAGGCAAGTTCTACAGTATGGCAAAGCATGCTTGAGCAAATGGCAAGAGCTAACAATCAGTGTGCCTTTGGTGTCTATAAGTAGCCAATAGGCAGCTGGGTTTAGTGTTGCTGTGAACATGAATGTATGATCAGTTATCGTAGTTGTTTGCCATATGTCTGTATTAAGTATATATCCACACTTAATTCAAACCATCAGTTTAGTAGTTGTGTTAGAATAGGGAAATTACCAAACAGTGCTGTATATACAGGACAAGAGTTGAGCACTACTGGCAGGAACATGATAATATTTCCTGATGATACACTGGCTTTGTCTTGCCAGAGAACTAAAAACACATTTTCTTTAAATCCATAGATAGTACCTAGGCACATAGTATTCCCTGATAGTGGTTGACAGTTTGTCTGTATTCCTCTGGTTATTTAGGTATACACTGGCAGCCCAGGAGTTGGTGATGAAAGCTAGAGGGGTACTTACTGAACAAGGCTGGAGGACAATGAATGGTAGACTGGGATCTGGTGATGACATATCTGTTTACATCATTCCTCTAATGTTCGGAAACAGACAGCCACAGTCAAGGTGACCCACAGAGAGACACAGAACAAAGAACATTGAATGAGGAGCTGTAAACCATTTAGAGGCTTTCACTGGTTGAATTTTGACTTACGACTGAATTACTGGAGTTTACATTTGATTAAACATAATTTTGAAACAACATAGACACCAAATGTCCATGTTCTACAGAATCTACTGGTACTATCAAGGACCGGTTGTTGATATTGTTCAAGTCTTCCTCTTGCCTTCTGTTAATGTATTGTCTTAACACAGGTGATTGTTTTCTTTTTTCCTCTTGTCCATTCTGTGAATGGAAATGAAAGTGAATCCTTGGAATGGATAATTTGGTTTTATTGTGCATATGTGAACTAATGTATTTAGAATTGTATCTGAAAAACTGCCTTTCCACGGTGCTCTCTCACATACACTCTGAGGGTCGATTTCTGAGTATGTTTTACAGTAACACAAAGCTGAAAAGCACTTTTCTACTTACAATATAGGGAGCATGAATGACCTCTACAGCTAAAACTAAGGATTTTTTTGTAAATTACGTAAGACAGTAAATTGTTAAGGGAATGAATTTATTCTGATTTATTGTGATTTAGTCTTTTGCCTACTTTCTATAAGAACAATGGTACGCTCAAAAAATACTGAAGCCAATAAATATGTCCTCAATAAAATTTTTATTAGCATCATATGTAACAATTAAACTTTAAACTATTGGTCAGCTTTGGCATTTTAAAAAATATGATTGTGATATCTTTCAGGCCTCAGGACTGTTTGCTAAAATACTATATTTACTTTTTTTTGACTTACTTTAAACCCCCAAGGTAAATATTTATCCTTCATGTGTTTTCCAAAATAACCCCCCTAACAGAAATGTGATGGAAATACCAAGCAAAAATCACTGCAATAACACTATACACCATTTGGAGTACATTGCCAAGTCTACCTCTAGGTTTGTGCTCTGTAGTTGTTGTTGTTGTTGTTCTTTTTTCGGCTGCTCCCATTAGGGGTCGCCGCAGTGGATCATTGGTCCACATATTTGATTTGGCACAGTTTTTACATCGGATGCCCTTCCTGACGCAACCCTCACCAATTTTATCCAGGCTTGGGACCAGCACTGGGAGTACACTGTTATGTGCAGCCCCAGTGGCTGGGGTAGGTTCCCTGGCCGCGAATCGAACTTGGGCCGCAGCGGTGAGAACACTGTGGCCTAACCACTAGTCCTCCAGGGACCCAGGTTGGTACTTTATTGTGTTGGGGGAAAAAATAAGCTTCTTGTATGACTTATTGTATGATGCCCTGAAAACACCATGTTGTCAAAGGCCTTAGTTTTTTTTTTTGTTTTTTTTTTTAAACAATAAACTACATTTTAAATCTGTAATGCTTTGCCTTCATCTCCATACCCTGTCCTGTCCTAGTACTCTGCTGCACACAAGACAGATTGCATTGGTGATTTTTAGTGTTGAGCTATGTTATTTGCTGGGCACCACCAACACACTCCCAGAGGAGATAGACCATCTGGT